GATAGATAGATAGATAGATAGATAGATAGATAGATAGATAGATAGATGTAAATAGCTACATAGTTAGCTAGATAATGCAGACATTATTTACACATCTATTCCAGGCCACCCCACCTGAAACAATGCAATTATCTTTTATTTAAACATTTTCCTACAGTCACAAAACACTTTGGCTAATGTCCTATATCTAATTACTTTGTAGATATCTACAATGTACATTATCTATAGTGTCTATTTCTACATATACAGGGATTTCAGGTTAACGACAGTAATATAGTATATACATAAAATGATTTAGACATCCCAGGTTAAACATACATAATCTCCATGGAATTGAAGAAGGCTGCAATGCTGAATCCTTAGTGAAATTAAACTCTTTTTATAGTATCACTAGTTATATTTGGAAGAAAATTGTTGGAAAGACATTAAAATATCCACTGCAGACTCTGAATTCTTTCTCTAAGCCAAACCTCATTTTCTCCCAATAAAACATCACCCCAAACTGAAAAAAGTATTACTAATTTAATGTGGGTGCAATTCAACCCTTTCACATCTCATTCTAAGGAGTGGATTAATTAGAAAGAAGATTCCATAGCTTAATAAACTTTCATTGCTTTAGCTAAAAACAACCCCCAATTGTAGTTGTTTTTAAATTAGCCTGCTGAAGTCAATAGGATTTTAAAGTGTTTCAATTTGCTGGATTACCCATAATATATCTGGCATTGTTCAGAATATGTTCGATTTGGTAACATCACTCCTCTAAAAAGGATCCGTTTACAGAATTCATTCATTTAGCAAACTGACATTCTGAGAGATTTAGGACAGAGCCACCCAAGTTAATTGATGTGCTTTTTTATTAATATAAATACAAATAAATCAGCTCAGAGAATTTTAATGTCCCAGGTTACCAAGATAGAAAATGGCTTAACGGGGAAGCAAAGGGAAAAAAAAAAGCATTGAAAAGAGCGGCAGTCACACTTAAAAGATTGTAGTTAAGACAAAGAATGGGCCCAAAGTTTTAAGATATGAATATATCCAATAAACCGATCAATCCATTATGAAGCAACCTTGCATTCACAATCAGGACCCCAAATGAAAAGTTTAAAATGGAGCATTTTGAACACATTTACAAATTGGGGGGAGGGCACACTGTACATATATATGTATATATATATACATACTTCGCATTCACTAAACAATTGCATAGGTTTGTCCTCCAGATGATTTATTTATTCCCAAAAGGAATCTGGCGCAATTTCTTTTCCCAATTTTTTCCCCACTTATTCTTTCTGGAGGGAAAAAAAAAGCTATCACCATCAGGTTTATAACCTCAGACTGTAGACAATTTTCTTTTTTTTTAAAGTTATGCACAAAAATTAATTCAGGACAAAATTGAAAAGGGGGAAAAACCGAAAATATTCGAGAAAGGGGTTGCAGAAAACGGAGCCAAGTAGTGGCCTGGGAGAAAAGAAATTCGGATTAAACCTGCAGAAAGCGAAGGCGGCAAGAGCGGGCAGCCAAGCGGGGGGAAAAAAGGCAATTTGGGGTGAGAAGGCGGGACTGAAAATGAAGGAGAATTTCAAGGATGTTAGGACGGGAAGAAGAAGGGAAGGGCCGGGCTGGGATTATTATTATTATTATTATTGCAGAAGCGTCCAAGCGTCCCATTAGGGTTTTTCGCTGCAGTGTTTGCAAAGCCCCGAGGCGGCTCCGGCAAAGGCAGTACATTTCTCGGGGCAGTTCGGCAAGGCGGCGCCCGTGAAGGGATAGACGGCAGCCGATTGTCCGAAGGGAGCCAAGCCGGGCGGGATGGAGGCGCCGAGAGTCTGGCCCTGGTTGAGGTAGGCCACCAAACGCCGCATCTCCTCCAGGGCCTGCGCCTGCATCAGGATGTAGTTCTTGGCCAGGAGCAGCGTGGCGATCTTGGAGAGCTTGCGCACCGACGGGCTGTGCGCGTAAGGGATGACGGAGCGCAAGCCGTCCAGCGCGTCGTTCAGGTCGTGCATCCGCCGCCGCTCGCGGGCGTTGATGCTGAGGCGCAGCGAGCGCTGCTCCTTGGGCTTCTTGGGCCCGAGGGCGCCGCCGCCCCCGCCGCCGGCCTTCAGCTTGGCCTCGTCTCCGCCGCCGCGCTCGAAGGTCGGGCTGCCGGCCTTGGAGCCTTCGAAAGCTTCCTCGTCGTCGCCGCTCTGCTCTCCGCTGCTCTCCGCCGCTTTGCCCAGCTGCGCCGCCGGGAAAGCCAGCCCGCCCGCGCCTCCGGAGTAACCGCGACCCGCTTCGCCCGCGCCCCGCACGGCGCCGTAGGCGAAAGCCGTCTGGTTGTAGCTCTGCGCCAGGGCCAGGTAGGACTCGCCGCCCAGCGCCTTGAGCTCGGCCATGGCTGGCCCCCGATGGCCCGGCCGGGCTAGGACGGCCGGAGCCGCGCTTCTTCTCCAGAGGGGCGCAGCGGCTGGGAGCGCGCCTTTTCTCCCCAGCGCCGGCTCGGCGAGGATCCGGCTACAGCCGTCGCGCGCCACTCCGAAGATCGGGAGCCCGGAGCGCCGTGTCCCACCGAGGACGTCGGGGAGCTCTTCTGGCAAACCGCCCCTTGCGCTCTCGCTCTTGGGAAGGACTTTTCCGCGCCGTCGGGCCGCGTAGGCGACGATCGGGTCTGTCCAGCTGCGCTTCTCGCTTCTCTCTCCTCCCCCGATCCGATCCGGGGAGCCTCTCCCGAGATCCGAGGCTGGGGAGAGCAGGGAGAGAGAGGAAGCGCCCCCTCCCCAAGTTACACCCCTCCCCCGATCCGGATTCGCGCCGCAGCCGTCTAAGATCCGGCGCCGCAGCTGTTGCCCGCTCTTTCGGCTCCTCGCTGGGCGCCGTCGAAAACCTGCCTGGTCCGATCCGATCCGATCCGGAGGAAGGTTGGCTGGCAGTCCCGTTTGGGGATGCGCGAGGCGGCGGCGGCGGCGGCTCTGCGCCTTGCCAGCCTGCCTGCGGCCGCCCGTCTTGCTGGAGCAGCTCGCTGGGTCTGGAACCAGCTGGCTCCGCGCGGTGCCCTGACCGGAGGCGGGATATTAATCATTGCCCACCTCGCCCATTATGTGGCGGCGAGGCGCCCGCTGGGACTGAGCGGCCGCCCAATCAGAGCGATGGCTCTAATTAATGGCCTCTTAAACAAAAAAGAGAGAGAGAAAAAAGTCGCCGGCCGTGGAAAGAAGCAGGCGCGCCCCGTCAAGGTTGGCCGCCGTTGCGCATTCAATGAATAACAGAGTTGGAAGGGACCTTGTAGGTCATCTAGTCCAACCCCCGCCCAAGCAGGAGACCCTACCCCATTTCTGACAGATGGCAGTCCAGTCTCTTCTTGAAAGCCTCCAGTCATGAAGCTCCCACAACTTCTGAAGGCAACTTCTGTTCCATGGGTTGATTGTTCTCACTGTCAGGAAATTCCTCCTTATTTCCAGGTTGAATCTCTGCTCTTTGTGTTAACCTTTTCATATAAGAGAAGAAGAGGGTTGGAAGGAACTTTGGAGGTCTTCTAGTCTGACCTCTTGCTCAAGCAGGGGATACTATACCATCCCAGTCAAATGGCTGTCTGTAGAGTTGTAATTGCAGGAATGTTCCAATCTCAGATGGCAAACCTCAGATAAAGAATGTTTCCAAGCAAATACAACTCAGACAAACAAAGTCACTAATCTAAAGGAGGATTAGAGAGAGGAAGTAAACATATGTTAGACTTTAACTAGAGATAATTAATTGTATGGATTACTGTGCTAAACAGTAACGAAAGTTAAGCAGTAACCAAAGTTAACCAATGATGAAGGATAACTAAAAATGTGTATAAATGCAAGACTAGACTCCAATAAAGATCATCATGATTCAGTTGTTCATGATCAAACAACTCGACTGCCTCGTCATTACAACACCTGTCTAGTCCAGGGGTCTCCAACCTTGGCAACTTTAAGCCTGGAGGACTTCAACACCCAGAATTCCCCATGTTTAGCATGTTGTGGGAAACCAACCAGAGGGCCTCAACCTCTTTCCCCAGGCAGGACTAATCGAAAGAGCCGATGGCCAGCTCAAGCAACCCCAAATTCAGACCTCCCCTCCTCGGATTTCCAACACCGTTACTGCTTTGTGCTGAGCATCCTTGCTGCATCTCCGGGTGGTTTCTTGGTTGGGAACGGCTGCGTTCCCACAATCCAAAGCACAACCAGGTCAGGGTGAAGTCCTTCTAGCCTTAATTCTAGGATTGAGTCAGATTTCACCTTGTTTAGGTTCGCTTTCTCTTCATGTATGTATAGGACTTCAGGTACTTACAATATATAATGTATAGATTGCAGGAACTGGGTATATTTAGTCTAATGAAAAGAAGGACTAGGGGGGACATGATAGCAGTCTTCCAATATTTGAGGGGCTGCTACAAGGAAGAGGGGGGGTCAACTTATTTTCCAAAGCACCTGACAACAAGACAAGAAACAAGCGATGGGAAGTAATCAAGGTGCGATTCAACCTAGAAATAAGGAGAAATTTTGTGACGCTGAGTACAACTGATCTGTGGAACAGCTTGCTTCCCGAAGTTGTGGATGCTTCATTGCTGAAGGCTTTTAAGAAGAGATTGGATAGCTATTTGTCAGCAGTAGCATAAGTAACCAGGCTGGATTAGATGACCTCCAGAGCAATGGTCACCAACCAGTGGGCCGGGGACCACTGGTGGTCCGCAAGAAAATGTTGGTGGTCCGCAGAGAAATGTCACCCCCAAAGCAATTAATCCAGGCTGCGTGGGAACACAAGGTTTGCGTCGCTTGCATTGCAAACAACACGAGGTAGTGAGGGGAAGGGGGAAAGGGCAGAGGGGGGGAACTTGCCCCACGCACCTGGCCTGGCCACCGGGCTGCTTTTTTCTGTTTCTTCTGCTTTTGGCTGCACACAAGGAAAGCAGCAAAAGTCTTCCTTTCTCTCCCCCAAACTCGGGCAGAAATGAGTCTTTGGGACCCTGCAAGGCCTCCTGCTCCATGAGACTGCGCCGGCAAAGACTCATTTCTGGAGGAGTTTGTGGGAGAGAAGGAAAGACTTCTGCCGCTTCTGCTGCTTTCCTTGCATGAAGCCAAAAGTCCCTCTCTCTCCCTGAGAACGGAGCTGGAGACGGTATCCTGCAATCCAAAATAAAGAATGATCGGTTGCTAGGAAAACGGGGTGGGAAATTTTCCTGGAGACTTACTTTTTTTGGGGGGGGGGTGTTTCCCAGGGTCTCTAGTCCGCGGGATTTAAAATTATGAGTTTGGTGGTCACTGAGGTCCAAAAGATTGGCGACCCCTGCTCCAGAGTCCCAACTCTGTTACTGTTTGTGTATGGTACAATTCTAGATTTTTTAAAATGGTTCTGCCCAGTAACCAGGTAGAAAAGGAGTTAATTCAAGCGAAGTGTGTAGCAAGGGGCCCCACGGCCACAGCTGCCCCCTTGCTCTTCAAGCAAGAGTTGTAAGTCCAGGAAGTGCCCCCACCCCAATTTTACTGATTCAGATGGACGTTCTCTCGTTCCAGGGGGACCAACGGCCACAGCCACCTGATCTGTCCAGGGTTGAATTCGAACCAGGTCCTACTCATTCACATCCTACAGCCTCTACAGTTGGTATAAGTTATTTCTCTCTTTCTTTTCCCCCGCCAATTCCTATGGGCACCCATTCCCCAAATGACTCTGGGTGGCTAATCTATAAACTGCTAAAACTCTTTTGTCTGTTTGATACTTGGTAACCTTCAATTGAGCAAATAGGTACATCCTAGCTAGGGCAATGATTATTGAACCAAGGTGACTCAAAGAAACTAACTTACAGAATGCTAGGACTCACGACAGTGGGAACAATTAATCAGCGGAAGATTGGCTGGGTTTTTTTCAAAAATAGACTAGAGAGCTATTTGACTGGGATGGTATAGTATCCCCTGCTTGAGCAAGAGGTTGGACTAGAAGACTTCCTTCCTTCCTTCCTTCCTTTCTTCCTTCCTTCTTTTCTTCCTTCCTTCCTTCCTTCCTTCCTCCCTCCCTCCCTCCCTCCCTCCCCCCCTCCCTTCCTTCTCCTTTTCCTTTCCTCCCTTCCTCCTTTCTTTCCCTCCTTTCTTTCTCTCCTTTCTTTCCCTCCCTCCTTTCTTTCCCTCCTTTCTTTACTTTCCTCCCTCCCTCCCTCCTTCCTTTCCCCCCCCTTTCTTTCTTTCCCTCCCTCCTTTCTTTCCCTCCCTTCTTTCTTTCCTTCCCTCCTTCCCTCCCTCCCTCCCTCCCTCCCTCCCTTTCTTCCTTCCTTCCCACCCATCTCCCCGAAAGGGTAACTCTAGGTGGCTTACAAATTATAAAAACACGTGAAAAAAATAATAATTCAAAGAGTAAAACAAAGCATCATTAAAATATTATTTTAAAAACGGTGCTAAAACCACGCCTGCGAGAGTCAAGAGATGGATGGGACAGCGATGAGATCTTCTGGCCCATCCGTCCCCTCCAGCAGGGGTGGAGGTGTTGGCTACAACCCCCAAGCCAAAGCCGGGCTCTGACCGCCTTCGGGAAGGCCAAAAGGGAGACGGAAGTTCACGTCTCTGGCAGAAGAATATTCCACGGGAACGGGGCCGCCGCAGAAAAGGCTCTTCCCCTTGACCCTGGCTGCTTCAATTCCTCAGCACAGCACCCCACCAACCTTTTGGACACCAGGGACCGGTTCCTTGGGGAGAGGTTTTTCCAGGCACCAGAGGGGGCATGGTTTCGTGGGCTGCTTGAATCCCACGGATGGGGCTTGGCTTGTTTGCATGGCCTGGTTTCTGGCATGCCGTGGACCACTGCTGGCCCACAGACGGGAGGTTGGTGACCCCGGCCTTAGCAGATGGGACCCATAGCAGGTCTCTTCTGCAGGTGTGAGTGGAGTGGGCTTGTTCCATTGGGGGGAGATGGCTCCTTAGATACCCTGGATATCAGAAGGGGTATTCAGCAGGTTCTGGCCAGTTCTGGAGAACCGGTAGTAGAAATTTTGAGTAGTTCGGAGAACCAGCAAATCTGACTGGCTCTACCCCATCTATTCTCTGCCTCCTATTGAGTCCCAGCTGATCGGCTGGATCTTCTTTGGTTCCCCTGCACAGGAGAACGGAGCTGGAAAGCAGGTTAGTGGGGTGGGGTGGAAATTGAGATTTTGCAGTATCCTTCCCCTGCCACGCCCACCAAGCCACGCCCACAGAACCAGCAGTAAAAAAAAATTTGAATCCCACCACTAAAGTCTGAGAAACCAGCCCCACCTAGACCACCAAAGGGGCATGCCGCAGACCCCACCAGCCGGAGAAGAGTCTTGAGAACCCCTTGGACTGCAAGGAGATTCAATCAGTCGATCGTAAAGGCAATCAACCTTGATTGTCCTTTGGAAGGACAGAGA